AACAATAATTTAAATGAAAAATGAGATGGCAGTCACTACGAAAAAGGACTCTCTCTGTCCTCTTAAAAGCCATACAATTGATCGTACTTCGTACTTCGTACTCCGTACAAATCTCCCCTTACATTAAGATCACTCTTTCAATTTAAAGTGTTTCATATGCATCATTTTTGTTACCCCTTCTCTCTTGGAATAATATTTTTTGAAAAATGCTTTGGAGCTCTAATTTCTTAGTTCTAAAGGTAGCTCTAATGAGTTGGCAATGGGTTTCATCCACAGTGATGTGATGTTTTGGTCTTGATTTGTTTTTATTTTATTTTTTTTGTTCATTACCATGTCATTAGTACTCCATTAGAGCACCAAAATTAGTGGTCTGAATCATTGCTGATATTTCTTTTAGAGAATTTAAGGTTATAATTGGATAGATTTTTAAATTATAATTTTACCTTCACATCCTAATATTATGTTTAGCAAAAAAGCTTGGGACCCCACTGGGGAGACCCTTAGCACCTCCGGTGGGTATTGATTGGCCAGATAATATATATATTTTTTTCTTTTCCAATCATCAACCCTCACGTGTGTGTTGGGGTGATGGGGGTGGGCAGGGAGTGAGAGGTCTCAATCAACTCTCTATGTTTAGATACATCTTTCAAATTATATTTTCACAGCAAAAAGAAAATTCTACAAAAAATTTCATGTTAGGTAGGAATTTTTTTTTAAAATTCGGCTTAACCGGTCAATCAAAACATGCCAATTTTTTTTTTTTTTGGGAATTGGCACTTGTTTATTTTATTTTATTTTATATTTTCAATAAAATAATATTTTTAAAATTTTTTATGAGCTTTTGATATATTTTTGAGTTGTGTGTTTAGTTAGGAGTTGTAAATTTTTGTATCAGATATCATATGTCACATCAAAATTTTTTCACTCATTCAAAACTTTTTTCAAAACTCATTCACCAAACAAAATTTTCACACTCAAATTATAATTCCAAAACTCATAAACTCAAAATACAATTATATTCTCCAATCATATTTAGAAAACTCTACCAAACGCTACCTAACTTTCTTTAGCCCCAGTTTGGTTTTCCTCTTGAGCTAAAAAATCACAAAAGGACAAAAAGAAAGTTAAAAAAATAAAAAGCCAAAAATCACGAAATGACAAAAAAAATTTGCCATTCTAAAGCCAAAAAGCTAAAAAAATAAACAAGAAAACCAAACAAACAAAAAAGTTGCAGGCTAAAAAAGTCAAAAAAATAAAAAAACCAACTAAAAAAGTCATTGCTAAACGACCCTTAATAGTACAATTATTATATTTTAAAAATATTAATTTTCTTAAATTATCTTTTGATAGTACATTGTTTAGAAAAATGTTAATTATTATAATTGTACTTTTTGTGTTATTAATAAATTTAAAAGAAGTGAAAAATAGTAAATTTATATTATTTTATTTCTTAATTTTTGAAAAGAGACTACTATTTTGAGACAATAAAAAAATAGAATAAAAGATTAATATTTTAGGACCGCGGGAGTATTATTTAGTTTTGACGTGTATGATATAATTTACGATATTATTTTAATTATGAATAAAAAATTCCTGAATTATACCTAATGCGATGTTGAATTATAACTCATTTTTTTTTTTAGTTACGACCTTTATAGTATTGAGTTATGTCATTTGTGATAATCAAATTCATAATAATTTAGAAAATGATTTATTTTCTCTCAAGTTGTCATCTCAATTTAAGAGAGTGGTTGGACTTGGTAAGCCAATTTTTTAATCGATTTCAGTGATTTGAATTTTTTAATTTTTAGAACTCGTTGAGCCTCCGTTTGGGAAGTGGGTTGGCTTTTTGACTTTTTAGCTATTTTAGCCTAGGGCTAAAAAGCCTGGTTTGGAAAGGGCTTTTGGCTTTTTGGCTTTTTTGATTTTTTTTTTGTGATAGAGGAGTGTAATGATTATGGGTTGGATTTGATGTTTTGTTTTTTATGGCTAAAAATAACCTATTTGTTTTTTCTGGCTATTTTAGCCCCTAACCCACCAAAACCAACTTCCCAAACTATGCCTGAGTATAATAGTCATACACAAAGTCAAGATAATTGGATATCGATGGCTATAAGTTTGAATTATAGTTTTAAAAAAATTAGATGACAAATATAATTTTAATAATAACTATCTATTTTTTATAATATTAATTTTTGTAGTTTCTTGATATAAATAAAATTAATTTGAATTATAGTTACTGATATCCGATCATTTTAATTTCTTACATGAATATTCTACTCAATGAGTCTTAAAAATTAAAAGGGTCATATCATTGAAATTGATTCGAAACGTTCTATTAAATTGAGATGACAACTTGAAAGAAAACAAACCTTTCATCACATTATGGTATCATATTTGTATATTATCTTATCTTCCATTAATTTTAGAGTAATGTTACATTTATTATATTTTTATATTAAATTTTATTTATCATTTTATATATCAATGTGTTTGAATATTAATGAAATTCACCATTTTTGTTACTCATTTTTGTTATGAATATTATAGTGACACAATCGTATAAAAAGTATGATAAGATGATGTAATTATTATGATATTATTAACATCTAATAAAAAATTTCACAAGTGCTAAAATATGGTTTTTATGATTATTACTGAGATTAAAAAAAAAATCCTACTCAATTTTGTTTATAAAATTTTATTAACATCACTAGCTAAAATAGTACTACTGATTTTGCCCTCAATATTTGTCATAAAAAAGTTCTGATTTGGCAAGAATTAAAGTGACTAATGAGTCGTTTGAAATGATTTAAATAAATATATTTTTTAATTTTTATAAAAAAATATATAAAGTAGTAGAGAGCTGATGTGACCAAATAAATGTGATACGATTCAAATAATATAAAAAGATGTGATAAAGTAGGGGATGTCCGTAAACAAGTACAAAATTTAGCCAATAAGATAAATTGTCATATTTAAATCATAATTATTTAATTTTTTCTCGCACAACTATCACATTCAAATCCAAAAAAAAGAGGGGTAAACTATTAATAGGCCACAATAGTTAGACTTAATTCCCATAAAGTCCTATTAAAAATAAGTCCTCGTAAAATTGTGGCTAAAAATATTTTTTTTGTGACAATTTTTTACATGCGTCGCTAAAAATTGACAATTAGTGACCTTTTTTGTCATGATTTTTATAAATTATCATTAAAATTTATAATTAGTGATATTTTTTTATGACAATTTTTTTTTCATAAGGCCTATTAGATAATAAATTTACTTATTAGGATCCACCCGTAAGTATCATAAAAAAAAAACCAAAAATTCTTCCCAAACAAAAGTAATTTAGCCCAATTAAATTAATAAGAAAAAAAAAGCTAAATTAACTCTTCCTAAACCAAGGGTACGTATGAAGTGTACAATAAATTCATGTACAATTCAGCACCTTCCTTCCTCCTGCCTTCTCATTGCCACCACACCAACCACCACAGCATCTCCTCTCTATCATTCTCGTTTATTTTCATAATAATTTTTTATTTTTATTTTTTGTAAATAATTCTTCCTAAAAACAGAACAAAGATTTTGTTGAAAGATCTTCTCATTGACTTCAATAAATAAGCCTTAACCATTTAATTCTATTAAGATCTTCTCATTGACTTCAATAAATAAGCCTTAACCATTTAATTCTATTGTGGTAGGTTAAAAATTAATTTTTTTAATTTTTTTTTTTTTGAAAAACATTTAAAAAAATAAAGCAATGATATAATCTAAAAGAGGTTAAAAATTAAAAAAAAAAATTACTTTTAATCTCTCCCCAAAAGAGGCCATAATCTAAGCCTCGACCATTAAATTCTATCATGGTACCTTTGTGGAATTTTTTTCTTGTTATTTACTTAAAGGGTTCATGGTTTTTTATTTTTATTTTTTTATGATGTATTTACAAATGTATTTGAATGGGGATTTTCACTCTAATGATTCAAGTTTACTTCTGCGAAACAAACTTGTCACCAGTTCAATATTTTGGTTGGGAAGGTTCTGTTAACATGATTGTGGCATCTTATTGATTTGAATAGTTTAATTTAAAAATTTATTCAGAATATCGTTCATAAAAAAAAAAAATCAGGTTGAAAATTAATTTTCATTTGATAATTTCATGCATTCCTCTTACCTTTCAAGTCAAAAATAGTCCACCGACATGTTTATTTGCTACCTGATTAGTAGATTAATCTATTAATTCTCATTATCTTGCGTTAATCTTTTTTCTTTTTTTTTTTCCAAAGCAAAACCAATCAATTCATTTCATTTTATATTGTTGAAAGTTGACAACCTAATTTTAGCTGTTAATTCTGTCTTTAATAATTGTTCATTATACAGAAAGAGGCTAAATCAGCTGGCAAAGTAGTGCCTTTCCAGCCACTACTCTTCATGCCAAACACTCCTAAAATAAAATATATCAATCGTATTCGAAAGCAAATTCCCTCCTCTCTTCATCTTCATTTTCCCCTTACTTTTCTTGGATTTGGATGCCATTACCAAAAAGAGTAATTCAAAAAGAAAATAAACATTAAAAATGGTACCGAGTTAAATTTAAGTGATCAAATTAGTTACGAAGTAAAACCATATTACAGCATATCTTGTTTTTATAGTAAATAATCTGTAAAAATAAAAAATAAAAATAAGGCGACAAGGGCCTAACATTCTTTAAGTGATCATAAGAACTTCCTACTTAATGGGAGTTGATTAAGACTACCCAAAATGGCAAGACAAGGAAAACCGGTAAGGAAAAAAATCACAAATCACATAATCTAAATAATTAATTTTATGCAATCAAATTTTTTATATAGAATGATAAGTCGTTTGATTATCTATTTATTTTAATTAAAATATCTAATTCATAATTTCAAAAATACCATATTTGGTTTTTTTGCATTATTTTTATTTTTATTTTTAGGATGCTATGCAATAGGATGATGATCATACACGAGAGTAGAGAATTCATGAAGTAAAAAAGAATACATGTTCTTATGGATTTTATATCCTTATTCCTTATTATTACAAACAAAATATACCTATAATCATCTCCATCATCAAAAGAAAACTGAAGATTTTGATAGACAGGTTCGATGATACCCATTTTAATTTACAAATTTAACAAAAAAATAAAAATAAAAATCTCTACTCCTGTCATCTTCCTTATATATCAACAGTGTGCAACTTATAAGTCACAGACTCGATGATTCACCTGTATTTTCAGATAACTCGTCCATGGCTTCTTCATCATCATCATCCACAATGTCTATACGCTTTATTTCATCTTTAGTCCTCACCTTCTTTGACGAATCTTGAACCAAAAGACTTTACTTCAATCTTTTTTGTTCTTCAAGAATCTAACGAAAATGGAGGTTTCAAGAGATCATATGGAGCCCAGAGAGCATCCAAAGGGCACGGCCGATTAGCATCGAGTCGAGCCCACGGCTTCCCTTTCCCACTCCAATGCAACAGACTCACCGGACCCGAATGCAAATCCCTGCAAAGTCCCCGGAAATTATCGCCGCCGAGACCGTGCTGGTTCCATCTGTGATCCACCGGAGCTATATTTCCGGCAAAAACAAGCAAAAACGGTGGCAAAGAACCCAATTCATAAATTCTCATTCTCTTCTGAAGCTCCATCCATTCCTCAATCTTAGTCGTGTAGTGTCCGTTTCTCCACCGATCTAGATCGATCACCATGACTCCGGTATTGAAATAACAAGCCTTGCGATTCGCGAATGTTAGAGAGAGAGATGGGTTTGACCAGAATGTAGGAGTGAAATAGGACGTGAAATTGGCGTTGCAGTATTCCGGCGCGGCGAGGACGGCGGCGGCGCCGAGAGGGGTGGCAGCGAGGTTGTCGATGTCGTCGACGAGGACGAGGTCGGAGTCGAGGTAGACGACTTTGCGGACGCAGAGTGGGAGGAGATTGGCTAAGTAGCTCCTAGCGTAGTTGAGTGGGCAGTCGAGGGCGGAGCGAATGGAGGTGGAGATGAGGCGGGCGACGGCGGAGTCGTCGAAAGGGTATATTTGGAATTTTAGGTAAGGGAAGGAGGTGGAGATGGTGGCGCGTAGTAGGGACGCGTCGGCGGAGGCGGAGGCGACGAAGTGGAAGAATATGTTTTGGGGACATGAGGAGTGTTGGAGGACAGAGAGGATTGCCGCCATGGATCCCCGGATGTAGGCGGTGTCGAGGGTCATCGCCACGTGGACGGCGCTCTCCGAACATACGGCTATTTTATTATTGTCTGCTTCAACCTCGACGTCATTGTCATTGTCAACGATGGATGGACATTCTGGAGAGTTGTAGAATTTCGGGGCCTCTCTAAACTGTTGATGAGAGAGTTTGGTGGCGGCATTGGCGGCAGTTGTAGTGGTGGGGATTCTGATGGCGGCGGAGGAGGAGGTGAAGAGGAAAATGGACAGAGAGAGGAGGAGGAGGGCTTGGAGCCCTTGTTTAGGCATTATCATGTGTGAGATTTGGAAATGGGAGAATGGGGTGTGTTGGGCTTTTATGAGAGAGAGAGAGAGAGAGAGAGAGAGGTTTGATTGAGTTTGAAGTATGAAATGAAGTATCGTTTACAAAGACACGGTTTGGTAATAAAAAAAGGGTGAGCATAGCCGGATGGGGATAGTTGGCCGGGCTGCACATCACCAAAGAGGGGGCTAAGTCAAAAAATTTCATAGATAAGTTTGTTGGTTTCATACTTTGTGGTTTGGATCTGGTTCTAGACTCTCTATGGTTCTACTTCGCCATTTTTTGTATCCGGACCATATACTTTTTTCTCTCTCTCTCTCATGCATAGATTTGATAAGAAGTAAAAAGTTATGGCATCGTTCGTAATTCTCACATATAAGAATATTTTGTCTGATCCTGTAATTAATTTTTATAGAAATAGAATAATTGAGATTTGATAAGTTAGAATAGAAATAATATGTTTTTAGAAAAAAAATGATGAGAAAATCATTTAGAATTTGAATATGTAAAAAGTATATTTAGGTCAATTTTGGCATAACTTAAATAATACAAAAAGTCAAAAAGTCACTATCTTATTTAAGTCACATCATCTTATTTAAATTGCATCACCTCTCTAACACATCACATCAAACCCAACCCATATAAATCAATAAGTCAAAAAGTACATTTTTTTAGAATATCCCAAATCAACCCTTAAATTTTATATGGTATGAATTATATTCAATGAATCTTACTCGTATATTAAATTTTGTGTATTTATGTAGAATTAGGAAAAGAAACTAAAGTGCATGGATTGATTAAAGAAAGGAGTGTGATATTAAACTTTGGCTTTTGAGGTGGTTGGCGACCAAGCTTTTGAGTAAAATTCATTCTAGTGTAAATGCTTTAAGGTTGAATTTGAAATTGTGAATTGAAATGAGTAGATTTAGAATGAATAGTTTTGCATTTTAGGTACTTTTAAATTTTAATGACAAGTTTGGGTGAATTTGAGAGTGAATTTGAAATTCAAAAAATAAAAAAAGTGGAAGGAGTTGAAGCATCCTAGAATAAAAGAAGACAAAAACAGTCTCTTGATTTCAAAACATTTTCATCCAAAGGCACTGTGCCTGTTAATGGAGGGGGGGAATATGAAAGGGACTATGATGACCCACTTGGGGTTGTTTGGGATGTCCTAAATAAGTGTATTTTTTTTGTCTTTAGACTAAAAAATTGAAGAAGAAGATATGGATGTTTGAGTTAATTTTTTAACTTTTTATGGAAAAATGTGTAATAAAAAATTGTAAAAATTGATTTGTAGGAAAAAATTAGGATTGGAAATTATGCAGCCATAATTGTTGACTTTTGGTGAATAGTGTTAATTTTTTAACTTTTTGAGTAACTTTTTGACTTTTTAATTTTTTTGCAATATGCCAAACTTAGGCTTAATTTAGCTAAGTTTATAAAATTTATTGCTAGTTTTTCCATGTGCATTCAATAATTGATTTGGGAGAATTAATAATTATATTTAATTTTATAATTGAATTTTATGCACTTAAAAAAAATTCTTTACTTATTCTGTTAATTTGACACTTAATGTAAAAAGTTCTACTAATAGTGGAAACTTTTTGAAATGTTAGAATTTTATAGGAGGATTGAAGGCTATGAAGCACAAGGATTTTAAATAGGAGAATTGAGGTTTGACCATTTTGTTAACTGAGTTGAGAAGTGAGAAACAACCTAACAACAAATGTTGAAGCCTAATGTCCTTGGTCTTGGTAATCATTGGGTAACCTTTTTAAATTTCTTTCAAATGCAAATGCACCACAAATTCATAAAACTTGCCACACTTGTTTCACAATAAAAGTACAAAAACTTATTTTTTTGAATAGCGACGTACAAATAAATTTTATGTATAAATTTTTATATAAAATTGTATAACATTTTATAATTCATCTATTTTTATTATTATTTTGGCATTAATGTTTTGGTTGAAGAGAGATTAAAGGGGACATTAAACTGTTGGCCCATGGGACATGAAGGTGAAATTTATACAAATGTAATGTTGTTAATGGTTCGGTGTCAAAATCGGAAATCTCGCTCTCAGTGTAGAAATATATCAAACTCGTGGAAAATTATACTTGACCAACCAAACTACTTTCCATAGAGTCTTTGTGAGGCCAAAAAACCAAGAAACTCTTTGTTTGAGCATCAAGACTGACGAAAAATACATGTGTATAACTTGGGAGGCAGGTCAATTACATGTGATTTGCCTTTTTTTTCGAAAATTATTTATTCCCCCAGAAAGAGAAAACCATATGAAATGAGTGTTTTTTTTCTTCTTTTTCATCTAACTGGTTTAATTTTAATTTTTTAAAATAGATTTTAACCAAACATCTCACACAATACATCAATATATTATATAAGGAAAATGGGCCTTGTGGGAGTTCCAATATCTCAATATTAATTTTTTAATTTTTTGATTTAAAAAAATAAACCTTACCATTTATTGACTTCTCCTAAACCCACAAATCTTTTTGTCTTCTCTCATACCTACTGCTACATCATTTTTTATTTCTCCCACACACCTTGGTTGGTGATGAAATTATTAAATTATTTTTATAAAAAATCTAAAAAAAATAATTTGTATATTAAAAAAATATCTAAAATAAATAAAAATTCTTATTAAATCTATCTATTTATTTATATATTATATAAGTAAAAGGAGCTTTCTAACCACAAGTTTTTGTAGAACTTCCAATATGTCAAATTAAAATTTCTAATTTTTTGATTTTAAATAATTAAAAAAAATCCTCTATAGCTCTAATAAAAAAAAAATCTCTTGATTTATGACTTTCAAACAGAAAGTATATCAAATATACAAAACAAAAAATAGAAAGTATACTAATCTATTTTAAAATTCAAATTTGAGAGCCATTGAAAGCATTCCATTAATTTAAATTTATAATTATAATAATTTATCCCATAATATATAAGTTTTAAATAATGATATATTCCATGATTTATCTATATATCTATATACTATTATAATTGCAAAATATTGTCATTTCATTAAGGTTGAAAGTTGTAATTCTTTTTTCTCATTTTTTTATTTTGTTTAATTTTTCGTTAATACATGTTACAATATGATTGGTCTGTGAATTAATTTTATATTCTTAAAATAAAATTTCAAATTTGGATTCTTACTTAAATTATGTTACTATAATTGGAATGAGATCAATATTCATTTCTTAAATTTTGTATCCTTTATTAAATTATAAAATAAAATTTCAAATTTAAATTCTTCTTCAAATTATATTACTACAATTAGAATGAGATCAATATTCACATGTGTTATAATGATGTCTAATAATATTATTGGTCTAAATATAATTTGTTTTAAATACATATGTTCAAATTATTAATCGCTATTAATTTTTTTTTCTTTTTGTTTTAAATTTTATAAAAAAAATTATATCCTTCTAAACTACAAGGACTTGAACAATAATCAGTTTGTTTGGTTTTGGTTTTCAGAAAACACTTTTCAGAAAAATCTTACTTTTTATTTTCCATATTTTTTTGTTTTCAATGAATTTTTAAAAATATTTTAAGCAATTTGTTTTAATATTCAGACACACCTAACATAAATTCACTTAAAAAGTATAATATTTGTGAAAAAAAATCTTTAAAAAAATCACTAAATATAAAAAATACTAAAAAAAGAAAGAAAAGAAAACTCAGTATATTTTTCGTATTTTGTTTATTTATTAATTTTTTAAAATAAAATTCACAAATATTTTACTATTTAGATACATTTAATTAAGGTGCATTTAAAAAAGTTTTAAAAAAATTGTTTAAAATTTTAAAAATATTCACTAAAAACAAAAAACTGAATTCAAAAAATTAAAAGAAAACACACTGATTATTCTTTAATATGATTTTTTTTTAACAAAAGAATTAATTATAACTTTTTTAGTACTTACCAAACATGGTGGATTTTGTTAGATTTTTTTTTTTATTTATCTCAATTGTCAATGAAAAAAATAAAATAATGAATAAAGATAACTTTGGCTCAAATTGTTGAAAAGTTACTTTTGTTAAAATAAATTAGAAAGAAACGTTAATTTTTTTTATTAAAAATGGTAGTTCGTTAAACTTTTTTTATTTCAAAAAAAAAAAAAGATTACAGGTGATAATATATTGTTCATCCAGGATTATTTTTAGATTAAATAACAATACCATATTAAATTTTCTTCTTACCTTTTTTTTATTCAAATACTTTTTTTTTGTAAGACATTTTTTTATTCTATGTAATATTTTATTGTAATTTTTAAATTAAAAAAAAATTCTAAAAAATCATATTTAAATTATTTATGCCATTATAAAAAGTAATAAAATAATGAATAAAGATAACTTTGGCTCAAATTGTCGAAAAGTTACTTTTGTTAAAATAAATTAGAAAGAAACGTTAATTTTTTTTATTAAAAGTGGTAGTTCGTTAAACTTTTTTTATTTAAAAAAAAAAAAGATTACAGGTGATAATATATTGTTCATCCAGAATTATTTTTAGATTAAATAACAATACCATATTAAATTTTCTTCTTACCTTTTTTTATTCAAATACTTTTTTTTTTGTAAGACATTTTTTTTATTCTATGTAATATTTTATTGTAATTTTTAAATTAAAAAAAAATTCTAAAAAATCATATTTAAATTATTTATGCCATTATAAAAGTAAATTTTTTTAATATCAACTTAGTGGTAGTTTGGAAAGTGCTAAATAAGTATCCTTTTTCACTTTTTACGAAAATATGTACAAAAAATAGATATGTGATGTGACCCAAAAAAGATAATTAAGACACCGTTTGGGAAGGTGGGTTGGAGGCTTTTTTGGCTATTTTAGCCACAAAAAACAAAATAGGCTATTTTAGCCATAACAAACAAAACATCACATCCAACCCATAATCATTACATTCTTCTCTCACAAAAAAACTCAAAAAAGCCAAAAAGCTAAAAAGTCCTTCCCAAACCAAGCTTTTAAGCCCAGGCTAAAAAAGCCAAAAAGCCAAAAAGCCAACCCACTTCCCAAACGGAGGCTAAGTATAATTTTTTTACTTTTTACGAAAAGATATATAGAAAAGTAGAGATGTGATGTAACCTAAAAAATATAAAATAATAAAAAAGTGAGCTAATATGGCACTTCCAAACAATCCTTTATTCGCTGATCCCTTTCTAAAA